GCTCATAAAACCTCGTCGTTAACAACTCGCATTGCACCAGAATGTCCACCCCCTGAAATCGTGGAAGGCATGCAAGAATACGAATTAGAAGCAGTGATAGCCAGCAGAGTGCGACGAAACCGATTGCAATTCTTATCAAAGTGGAAAGGATATCCATTAGAAGAAGCAACATGGGAAAACGAAGAAAACCTAAAAAATTCTCCAAGATTAGTCAGCGAGTTTTACGCGGCAAATCCCGATGCACCCAAATCGCGTCGAATTGCAAGCGCAATCATTCCAGTCTTACAAACTCCTGATTTCTTGGAATGGAGACAAAAAAATATTCGACCATCCTATGTTCGCGAGGACGCTCACCTTAAAAGGGGGGTAATGTCACAAATTCCCAATATGAATCATTTTTCTTTCCTCGGTTTTCCTTCGACTATGTCCCAGACCCGAACCGATCACGTGACCCCACTACCTTTCACATTATCACATCATCACCATGTCACAGCTTCACCTTTTCACATTTCACCAATCACATCTCCGATCGAATCCCCTACGCCCAGGGCTAGAACTATATGTCTTCCTATCACTTAATCTCCGTCTCTGACATCATTGCCCTACGTCATGCGCAGTATCGTACGATTCTTTTCTCATTGGCTGATTATTTACAGACTCAGATATCTCCGACTCAATGTTATGTATATAGGTAGGGTAGTTAGCATAGTTTCTCTTTAGACTTAACCTCTTCGTTCCTACCCAGTGTAGACTCAGACGTTCACTCTCAATCTCATTCTTGCTCTAAACTCTGACGAGTCCTAGTGGTTGTGTTAAGCCTTTGCCATTTTGGTGAACGCTGATCATAACACGGACGCCCCTTCAAAGGTAGACCATGTATACAATCTGAAAGTACTTCGATAGTCAGTTTATGAAGCCTCTGAACTAAATGTGTAATCGGGAGAGCAGACCAACGGATTTTCGGCACGTCGACAGGATCAAAGACACAAACCTGTGGTGGCGGTGGTTGACACAGAGCCTCAAAAACATTTTTTCCATACATATCGCCGAAGTACCTTGCCAAACGAGGAACGAGTTGGCTACCTTCTGCAACGATTGGGGTGCAGGAAAGTAATGTTTGCAGTTGATCCTTACTCAAATGCATCACTCGTAGTCGGGTGGCAGCAAAATGATGTAGCACCGCGCGCACGCAATCCTTTTTCATTTTTCCTCGCAGAACGGAGAGACGAGAAACACAATCAACCAAGACACCATCCAGAAGGACCAATAAATGTTGCTCTTGAATTTCCTCGCTGTAATAGAACCATGTTGGGTAGACGTCTAGCCTTGAAGGCAGGCACTTCTCGACGGAGAGGGCATCATGAGAGGAAAGCTTGCAAAAGACAACACAATGACAGTAACTCGCATCTGTAAATTCACCTGGTGTCGTAGTCAATGATTTTTGTTGGTGGCATATAGTGATACTAACACCGTCGTACGAAACACAACCATGAAAATTTGACCAGCGGTACTTCAAGCAACACAGAGGATGAGATTTAAGCGAAGACTTCAACCATGTACAAAAACATTCGGATGTTTCAAAAAATGCAAGATTAGATCGTGGATAATAGAGTGCATCATAATAACAGGGATATTTGTTCACATCGTGGGGCTCATCGAAAGGAGGACATTGTCCTTCATCAAGGACTCGAGCCAAACGACAAGGCAACTTTGTAAGAAAAACCCTGAACACACATAAGCTATACTGCAATGAAACAAACGAATTATACTCACATGTGCCTGCCGCAGTGCGTGCTTTTTCCTAGTGTATCTGCAAGTATTTGGTGGAGAAAGAAAAAGGACAAGCGCGATGCTTTCCCACAACATCGACCACCGAACTAAGCAAGTGCACATCTTCCCACACCCACATTTTCCCACACCCACGGGTCCGTTTGCAGAGAAATAGTCATTTCCTTGCGACAAAACCCTCTTCCACTAAAGTGGAGTCGGGGAACAAGTACCACTGGTCTCTAGTACTTTGCTTACTCTGACTCCTACGACGTCCTTGAGAGAAAAGAATTTGGCGTGATGGTGCTAAATTGTGGGAATGCATTACAAATAGAACAAGACAGCGCATTCACGATGATGCTCGAGATACAAGATGGTAATGGTAAATCCCCATCTCTATTCCTATGTCTCGAACTCATAGTGACATAGGACGTCGAAAGTAGTTAGGCTTACAGATACAAGCTGGTGATCCGAGTATGGACAACAACAACAAGAGGCAACAGGATACGTGTCAGAGAGCTTGAAGTGACAGACTCCCCCGTCTCTTCCCTATTCTAATGGTATAAGATTCACAATGTGCGAAGTGTATTAGCTGGACGGCTCACAAAGCTCTTTGTCAACCTTGATGACAGGTGCATTCCTGATTTTGCTAACCGAACCGTCCGAATACTTGGCATGGATCAAATCTGACCAAGAGTGTCGCCTTTCATGGGGCTGTAAACTTCATCCAATTTCTTGAGAAGCCGGTGTACCGTCGCTTCCGATCAAGGAGAATGACCCATACATTCGCGATCTTCTTAATGGCGGTATCGAAAATCTCGAGTGGTTGGAGATATTCGGTCTGGAAATCATATCGAGAGTATTGAGCGCTGAGCTCCGGCGGGGCAGTGCTAGGGCGGCGCCGCGGCAGACGCCACATCATGCTTCGCGAGTCGATTCATGCGCTTCTAAAGCCTCATGGGCGCCCCAAAGTTCAGCATAAACCAATTTAGGACTAAAGGTTTCCTCCAAACCAGAGATCCTACCTTCGATAATCGGAGTCAATGAAGCACCCTTCATGACCGGTATTCGACAGAATAGGACGTGTCTACAGGAATATTTCCAGCGCTTTTGACACGTCGTATTCCTACGATCTCAACCTTAATGCCAGAAACTCATGACATCGAGCGTCCATTCCAGGTAAATCGACAAGCACTAGACAGGAGATGCCCTACACAAGGCGTTCAACAATGTCCCAGCACACGGCCATGCATGGGATAGAAAGAAGAAACTCATCTGGCGCGTCATACAAATACAATAGTTACACAGAAGACAGGGGTAACCATAAAAAAAAAATGAAACACAACAACATTTGACTAGTCCTCGAAAACGGTAAAGGTCTGAGAAAGACCAGCCACAGCATGTGGTCGAAACTGTAATTAGAATGTGAATAAGTACGAAGAATGGAATGGAGTTGCATCAGTACCAGATTTACGGTCCTGCAACACATGGTAGCATTTGTGTGAACCACTCAGGCCCACGAACCCATTCCCAGTTATAATTATCAAGATCCCTGCGGATGGCGATGGTTCGCCAGGTTGCGAAGGTTCCGGCACATCGTGGGGAACCACCGCCACCCGCTGGATCGCAATCTAAGACCAAGGTAATAGGCAGATCTCGCTGCGCTCGGGCCATCTCCCTGAAGTTACCATAAGTATGGACACAAAAATAAGCACTGACGTCAAAGAGTGTTCGATAATCGACCGCGCTCGTTAAACGAGGGCTTCGAGAAGGCACGCTGTCTCATCCGAGACTACCGTCAGTCTCGACACCCTCGATCAACTCTCGATCATGTATCAACTTGGTATGGTAAAACCAGCGGGCTTTGCCTCGAAGAAGAAAATGGGATATCAATGTTGCAACCTTTATGCGCAGGTAGCGTTGTACATTGACGGTGACGAAATATTGTCAATGAACAAATGGTGGGTAATAGTTACAGTAATCACCACATACCACTACTACACCGTTTGTTCATTTTGCCGCACTTCTAGGCGTAGAAGCGGCCAGATCTCCTGAGAGAGGTGGTCAAAAGAGGAGAGAGACTTGGTACAACACTAAGTATATTATATATGAAGAACCAATATTAATATTCAAGTTCAGTTTGAAACTCGATACAAAGTATTGCTCTTCGTGACTTGAAATTCTTTATTCTTTATCTATACGACGTCCTTGTGAAAGAAGAGTTTGGGGTAACGGTGGAGCAGGGTCGAGGAGTCCTCGGCTACGATTGGATAACGGGCTGTGATGATGATGATTGTACTAGTACTCTACGAACATGCTGGAACCTTGTCTGTATGCTGACTAAGCTACGGAAATAGCCGCTGGGCTCTTGGTGCGGTGGTCTGTGCCCTGAGAACCCCTAGTCCAACGGTGTTAAACTGCTGGAAGTTGATCGCCACGTAACGGTCGATTTAACTTCAAACAGTTTATAGCGTACCAGGTGTGCAAGTACTACCTACATACCTACGAATATTGCCTTTGGTTCTGAATAAACGCGTCGAAGATGGGTTACTCATACGTATCATGACTGCATACAATGGAGTCCTACAAGTCCGAGTCCGAGACAAGAATTACGTGCATGTAAGGTATGCAGGCGAGTATCAAAAAGTCCTATGAAGAACGAAACAAACCAGAGAACATATGCATATGCAAAAGTCATTAGCAGACGAAGTATCAGGTATCAAGTGTTCAAGTGTTTGAGTGTCATACCATCACCAACCAGCATCACTTCGTCACCGATCGAATCCCCATACCCGACCGCGCCCACCCCTCCTTCCCCTTCTCCCTATCCTTATCCTCTTTCCAACTCCCACCAGTCCCAGGCGGAGACGCGCTCCCATACTTCGAAACCCTCCTCACCGAACCCATCTCGTCCGGCGTACCACCACCGACCCTCGGCGATCCCGACCCACCAGGAGACATCAAATACCCAGACATTGGCCGCCCCTCGGCACTCCCCACCGTCAAGAACCCCAAAAATGCCATGGGGGACGGTGACCCCGCCGTCTTCAGTTTCCTCCGCCCATCAGGATCAAGTGTAGGCCTGGGCGTAGACGTACTAGGTTCTAGCATCTTCTGCAGTGCGAGCAAACACATAAACGCATCGTTCCCTGCATTGTGAAGCGCACATGGAGGGTCGATACTTAGGGAGTGCAGGAGCCCGCCGAGGGAGAGCGTGGAGCCCTGTGCACGGAGTTTGCCAGTTTTGGGGTCGTGCATCGCCCCTCGCTCGCCGGTGTTGAAGAGTGCGCGTTCGAAGGAGGCGGTGTCGATTATGAGGACGTTGTGAGGGATTTCTGGGGGGTGGTTAGTGGGAGCATATGTGGGATGAGGTAAACACATGAAACGCACTGATTTTAGTCTCTTCGAGTCGCTGGATGTCGGAGGTGACACCATGCCCTACGAGGACAAGGTTATTGGCGGCAGTTTCTGTGTCCGGGCTTGCTAGGCTGCTGTAGGGGACGTCAGGGACCAGAGCCACCAGCAACTGCACTATCCTACCTAATCACAGACTGGACAATTTGTGGTAACTTCGTTTTCGGTATTACTTGACTGTCGCCCCACTACAAGGTGCTCTGTAAGGAGTGAATTAAGCGCCGAGAGAACGACATACAGCATACTACCCCACATATCAGTTTAGCAAAGGAGGGTGATCTGAAGAAGCGTACCTGCCAGGGGTGCGTAGGACAGTGCTTGTTGACGATCTTATCCACGTAATCACCAATGATATAATGGCCCTTCCTGTACACATGCACATCAGCCAAGGCCTTGGCGCCCGCCAGTCTACAACACACCGATAATTCGTTTCGGGCGCAGGAGGCCACGCGCCGACACTGCAAATCAAATCCATCAATAACAGGTAATCACACAGGAAAGAACAAAACAGAAATGCATACGCTTCAAGATGTCCACACCGAACAGCCGCATACCCCCACTCCAAAAACGTCGCCGGGTTCCTCTCGCTCCATTCAAAATCGATCGCTAAAAACGTCTTGTCACGCTTTGCCCACAACTCCCGGATCGCTTTCGGCTCGCCAGCGCGTACCCGAGCTTTGAACGCTGCGAGCGCTACTGCTGGTAGTGTCGTGTACAGCTTCTTGTACGTCGCCCAGTCTGCGACGTTTCGTAGATGTCGTTGGGCCGTCTCGAAGTGCGTGACCTTTAGCATATTGTCGGGCGTAGGGAGGGTCTCGCCGAAACTAGGGTCGGTTCGTTGTTTGTGCGTCAGCAAGTGAGAGACAGGACGAGGCTCACCGAGTCTTGATCATTTTGATGAACGCACCAACGGTTGTCAACCGGGTAACAATATGCGCGCGGCCAGTCCACGAGTCTGTAACAGTAATAACAGGCCATGAAAATCCCAGAAACTGTTCAAACGTCTCGAAGAACTGCCCCCATGTCCGATCGTACCTGCGCGGCTCGATAAACGCGTCCTAGACACATGGTAGAGGTGCAGACGTACCAAGGGACATTGTGCAGCTGGAAATAACCTATGTAGGCAGAGTACACCTAAAAGACTATGAGCACGCTTTTGGTGAAAGAATGGCATACGCACAGACTGAAGATCGTATTCCCAACCTTCGGGATTGACGAGGCGAAAATCTGCCATAGAAATTAGGCGATCTGGCTGGACAGTCAGTCTAGAAACACGGCGCTAGCGTTAATGTGAGCTTCTGCAAGGCAGCAAAAAGTGGAAAGAAAGCTAGACACGCTGCGGACTCGAGCCGGAACAAAACTCGGTTTACATGAAACAACGTTCTACTGAATTTCAATGTCGCTCGATAATCAAATTGGACGGAAAGTGATGTTTACGGCATAAGAACTCCATTTGTATGGTCAAGCGTTTGGGGGGGCGGTCAATGGCATATGCCGGAATATGTCTCGAGGTTATTTGTACATAAATATTAGGGAGACTACACGCCGTTTCATTCATGTACACGAGGTAGTAATGTTACAGGGAAGCAAGTACAAGAGAAAAGGCAAAAAGAGACCTACACACTGGAGAAACGAAGTCAGCAATGCAGGTCAGAGACTTGAAGATCAACGTCCAGCGTGAAAGCAAGTCGCGTTTTATATCGCGTCGAAATGTAGAAACTCACCAAGTGTAGTAACAAGGGCCAACCTTGCCAATTGGCGCCGCTCAAAGTTCAATCAGCCCTGCTGAACGAGTCAGCAAAGCGCAACGAAGATCACGAAATACTTCGGATTCTTCTCAGAACCTGCAGGAAGTTGTTTCATCGTAGCCAGGACCAACAAGAAAGAATTTTAATAACAAGCACCCAAGGGCCAACGAGCACTTAAGTACTCGTCGCTATGCAAGATGACTTCGGAAACACCGGAAGTACTATCACGCCTGAACCTGCCCTAAACTCAGCTAACTATTGATTCGCATTACCAGGTGGTGCAAAGGAGGCGCAAATGCGGGTGTGGTCCTTATTTCAAGATCTGGCTTGGGGAGACTGGAGCTCGAGCACGCAAGTTATTTACATTAATGGTAACGCAGTTGAACAATTATGACACAAGGAACGCCTGTCGTCCTTTAAAGGTTTGACTAGTGACTACGGGAGAAGATGAAAATGAGTCTTTTGATGAACATGAACCTTCGCAACATCATGTAGTGCACAGAAACAATAAATTATCCCCACCAGAAAGATAATAATGTAATCAAGGAGAAGCGCACTTGAACATCTCTCGTACAGCTGGCAAATTATGGAGCTCAGTCAGGTGTTTCGTCGCCAGCGCTTGAAACAGCAGCTCATGATGCTCATCGTGGTATGGGGTTTGCACATGCGCCATCTCGTGCGCCATGATATAGTACCTGCGGGAAATCAGTAAATGGTAATGGACGGGCTTGGGGCGAATACTTGCCAATCGATATAGGCCTTTCCAACGGGGGCATCTTTATCTAAGTATTTGGCATGAGCATTGGCAATGGAAGATCCATCATGAAGGTCACGTACGTTTCTCGATATGATGTTCTAGACCGAAAAATATCTGATCATTGCGGTTAAAACCCATGAGATTTGGGTCCTCGCCGTGAAAAAATATATGGCATCGTGTCTGGTTGACTTCAAAGACTTTTGCAAGGTCACTGATAATCTTCCCGAAGGCCTCGCGTTCCCTTGAGTTAACACCCAAGGCTGTCCCCTCTGAAACAAACACATCAGTCTAAGAGCTCGAAACGAGAGACACTCAACTTACTTCGCTTCCAGACTTTGACCTGCCCGACGTGTTGGCCCTCTTCGTCGGTTTAATCACAGGCTGCCTAACTTCAAGACGAACAACGTACCGCATTCTTCGAGGTCTGTCTCCGAAACCTTCTTTTCATCGCAGTACCCGACATTTTTCTGCTTTTTTCCTCCCCCAACCTGCTCTCGATTGCTGATGTGCTTGTCGTCCTTGCCGCCTTCTTCCTTCATGACATCCTTCACCTTCTCGATGGAGTTCTCTGCGCGTCAATTTTCAACGCATACCTCAACGCGAAAAACGACTTGCGCACCAATTTCACTGGGCTTGATCTCGCCTAACTTGGGATCTTTATGAAGCCTATGGAACAACTTCGTGAATTTGCTCAAGATCACCGGTTTAGAACTGGGCGGCTCCTCTCCCGGAGGAGCAGCTGGAGACTGAGATTGGGGAGGTGGCATCTTGTTGGCAACGTCTCCTTCTACTATCATTGAGCATCTCCCCTGCAATGAAAGGTAATGGTCGTAAACCTACCCTGTTCAGCTTTCTTATGATACTCCAAGAGGATTCTGTCAACTAAACGTGGTATCAGCACCACTTCCTATATGACAGTGACAACCTTACCATCATAACCGCGGCGCTCGAGAACCTTGATGTCTGTGTCCAAGATAGTCATAAGGGACAACACATCGTTCTTTTTATACGTAAGGAACAGCAGACGGCACAGTGCTGCTGCGATGCTGAAATAGATGAACAGGCATCTCGAGCGATAGAAAGCGACATACTCATAACTGTCAGCCTTGGGCTGCTCCTTGATCCACAGCACATTTACGCCGTCCTCCAATTGTTGGGTCTCGGCAGAGAGTTCGGTGGGGTGCTCTTCCCGTCCACGAGTTCCAGTCACATGCGAGGATTTCAATCTCTTCGTGACGTCAAGTTTTCGACAAGCTCGCACAAAGAATTGTTTCTCGTCACGCCACCGTAGAAGGCGCATCCCAATTTTAAAGCGCTGTTCGTCAAACTCGTGGAGGAAAATTGGTATCTTTTCAATGATAGAAGATCGAAGGGTCTCGGCCTCCGGTGCATTCAAAAGCTCCCCGTCCGGATCCACAGTGTATTCGATGCATGAGCTCAACGACTTGACGCCCATTTCCGAGTAGAACTCTGCCCGGGATACTATGAGAGAGTTCCAGGAAGAATGTAAGAACATACTTTCTAGCAACTCCTCCTGAGGAGCGATGTCAATACAATCACCAAAAGTGCGACGACTTTCCATGTCGTCGGCGACTAACACCTCTTCGGCATTGCGAAGTTCAAACACGTCTGCCTCGTGGCTATACCCGTGAGTGCTCTTGCCTCGTCGATACCCCAAGAAAATTTGGGCATGGCGCATTTCTTTCTGGGTCTTTGCAGGAAGGGATTTATGACCCACCGCGATCAGACGCAGCTCGGCCAAGTATCTGCTACAAGTTAGTATTATGAACCAAGGATGGATCCAGAAACGACATGTACCTCTCCTCCCCGGCCAATTCAAGGAACATTTTTGGAGATTTCAGGAGGGCTTTGAGGACGTCGATGCATTCTGGGCGTTCCTTGACACCGCAAGCTTTTAAAAAAGCATTGGCACTGGGCTTAAAGTCGACAAATTTGAATAGCCGCTGGTAGAAGTGGTCTCCGGGGTATGATTTCGACTTCAGGAAGCACTCGCGAGGCGATACTGTCTCATAAGGACCGCTAGTGGATTCTGGCTGCTCGGAAGATACCTTTACAGGCACGATCTTGAGGTCAGCGATCTTCTCGAATTCCCCTGCTGAGAGAACTGAACATCCGGTCAGCACGAACACAAAGTCTCGGTGTCATGGAACTGCTTGCCTCCTTTCTCTGCAAGAAACCTGAACCACTCCTCTGCAGTTTGTGGGTCTTTCGGCGGATTCGATTCCAGAACCTGGAATAGCTTTTGAGCGGTAGGGCGATCTCGAATTTTCAGCTTTGTAATGATTTTCTTGTCGGGCTGTTTGGAGATATAGCCAAAGCCAAGTAAATCCCAGCTTGGATCCGAAAACACCTTTTCAATCGTGGCATCAGCTACGCGTATCCTGGGTCCGTACGACATACCTCGTCGTGGGTAACCTGACAAGGTCCTCCGTATCTGACACCGGGGATGAAGGCGTGCGAAGAGAACTTTAACGGATCGAAATGCCTTTCAAGCGTTGCGTTATACACAGGTCCGCACAGAAACGACCATGCAGCTTGTCTAGCGGACTCGGATGCCGACGATGCGATACCAATAAGTTCGTCTATCGTAGGATATTCGTGTAACCCTTGTCTAATCAGGAATATTGCTTGTTGTGTTCGGTCAGTGGAATATAGAAACGCCAAACCAGTTCACGACATACCCTCCTGGGTGTTTGGATCCCAGTAGTCACAATTGACTACAGGCAATCCGAGTGTCCGGTTGATCTCTGTGGACGGGAAGACCTCTTAGATAGTACGTCTTTTACCATCATCACAGGGAAAGAGTTCCATATTCATGACGCGGACCACGTGTTCCTGAGGAGACGTGGAAAGATATCTCGCCAGGTCCATGGCGTTCCATTTATCACAACTGTTCGCCCTGTGAGGTGGTTTAGCAAAGATGGTAAGGTCCTGTTCCTCTTGACTGACTTTTCTATGAATGTTTCAATGTCGCATCGTTTCTGCACTCCCAGATATTGCAACACCTGCTCCATGTGGTAGTCAATGGTCTCTAGTCCAACGACTGGAAGGTCGCGAAAAACGTCGGCGTCAGGGAAGTATGTCTCCTGGGGGCGCTTCATGTAAGTGGCGTTCGCGATAGTCGTGGGTATGCAAGCAACATCCTCCAAAATATCCCGAACTTCAGAACGACTATTTTCGTCTAGTGTGGGCCAAAGAGCGCTGAGAACGCTGAGAACGTGTTGCGCAAAAGTTGGCCGCGTGATGTTATGCGCCGAATCTTGCGGACTACCCCTGACGTACCGAAGCCAGTGTATGGTTGGCATCTCTTGCCATCCAAAAGCTTCGGGAATCGTATAGGGGCTGATGGCTTGAATAAGGGCCGGGGGTATAGTGTCTTCTGGGAGAGGATCATTGATGCGGCGAACACGGAGCATGTGCCCGTCAATAAATTTGCTGATGGAGCCGAGTCTGACTTCCTTCCCCCCCGAGAGCGTTCTGCCTGCTTTGAGGAGTTCGTTGCGCCGCTGTTTGTGCTGTTCGTCCAAGGGATCCTGACTTCCAAACGAGTTGCTCCACCAACGCAAGCAAGCAGCCATCTCCGACTCAGACAACCGCCGAGAATTCAATTCTTCCACGACATCTTTGAATGTGTACGACCCGACCCGGAGATGGTCAGGAAGCATCATGGATGTTAATAAAGAACGCCAATTCGTCGGGAGCACGGGGGTGCACATGAAGGGAGCAAAGTCCTTATGGACGAGACGAATGTCCTTCGTGGGCCGAATGCCTTGATCCGAGATAAACAGAAATTCGTCTGTTCTCGAACAAGCAAAGAACGCATCCTTGATAATATGGGACACCTTCGAATCGGGTGTGGTCGGATGAAACATGAAGGACTTCATCGTGTACAATGCCAGCACTTCCGCATCTGTCTTGCCCAACTTCGACCATGCATCGCTTACTTTCTTCATCTCGAAATCATATGCCATTCTCGCAAGAAAACCTCCAACATAAAGGAGCTCCTCATTCCATCCTGCGCGGCGTGGCGTCAATGGACAAACTATAGTCTGGCATCAATTCACTGCTTACTGGAAACATGAACATTGCTGCAAGGCAACTAATCAGAAATATCCTCATACAAGGTCGTACGATACTCACGCAAGATCGATCGAACCTCGCTCCACCGTTGGAATGAAACGACCGGACATGTGGCAAGACATACCGGTCGTTTGAGCCGTGCTTTGCCCCTGTCATGAACATCAGACAACATGAAATAGCCCAACACTATGAAGGTACTGACGATGAAGAGTCGAGCGGGGTATTCTCTGTCAGAGCCGAACGTCAGGTGAGGCAATCCGAAAGAACGCCTTGACTTACCCTTCCAATCGCGGACAAAGTCCTTGAGGCCCGCGGAAGACGCTTCCGAACCCCGCATTATCGGCTTCGTCTTGCGTCTGCTTATCGTGCTCCTCCTTACTGAACTGTGGACGTCGAACATGAGACCATGTTGGAATGTATGAAGTATCTACTCACGAATACCATCTCAAATGGAAAGCTCTCGGGAAGCTTTTTCTTCGTTACAGATTTTAAACCCTGCTCCAAACTCGAGTACCGCTGAGACGGTAACATTTGCAGAGTAAACCAAACATTTTGCCGAAAATTTGGCACCAGATTTGACGCTTGGGGCTTCAGAAACAGCGGCTGCCATTTTTGGAGCTGCAGTTCTTCCATTCGGTTTCGATGTTGTTTTCTGCGTCGGGAAGAAACCTTTGGATTTCGTCGGATTTCCTTCGCTTTCTTCTGGCTCCTCTCGTGTGATGAGCGACTTGGGCCCTCCAACGAGTGCATCTTCAGAGAATGTGACATTGACCTCCTGGGCTGCCAAGACTATCAGAGCTTTGCGGACTTGGAAAGGTGTAAAAGATACATACAGATGAGGTCGACAGAGGTGACGTTCATGGTGCCACATCGTTTAACCATATGCTTTGGAATGACTATTGACTGACTGGCCTTGTTCCGAGTTTTTGTCAAACGGGATAGCTCAGTGCCGTCCAGCGAGATCGTAATGTATTGAACATTGGCCAGGAACGTCATGGAAGTTACTAGAAATCGCGTGAGTTCAAATATCCGCGCGACGGTCGACTCCAGCTTCAACTCCATCTCGATCACAGTCCAGTTGCCACTGTCAGGATTGATTTCTTCCTTCACATAGAGCTACATGCACGTCAGATGCGCTGAACGCAAACGTGCGTCTGAGCAATAACGTGCCTGGTCTCCTTTATAAAAAATGGACACCATCTTTCCTGCAGCATCCGATGAGTGACACGCAGGCATAATTGAAAGACTGCATACCGTTCGATTTGACAATCGGCTTGTCGGTGACACTGAACACACTAAAGAAACCTGTATATTGCGCTCAGGATTTGGGATGACAGGAGAATGCATGATTGCATACCGACTCCAAATGCACCGATCTTTTGTTCGTCTGGATTGCCTTCGGCTAGATCAAGCACTCAGCACCCAAATGGCTGATCAAAATCTTCACAAACCAATTTTCGTCAGACGCTTCCAGTCAGTGTCTTGAAACGGGACACCATCATTCTTCACAAGCCATTTGAAGACCTTGTTAGACGAAAAAGTGAGTATTCCGGAGCCAGTACTCTGCCTCGTCGCACACCTTAGCTGAATTGAGATCTGGTTTCGTCCCATTTCTCGCACATTCGCGTGGGGTTTCAAGTTGAAATTCAATAGCGAAGTTCTTAGCCTCAGCATCATCTGCATTCTGTAACAATTCTCGGAAAACTTCATTGCATATAATCAGTCGTATTTTCTGACCTGACGTAGCTTTCAACATACCTGTGAACTCTTCCGGGTAACGGGCGAGCACTTTATCGACAAGGCCTCGCTGGTTGACTTCCACTGCTGTGATATTCTACACCAAAAGGTGAGCCCCGAAAGCGTCCAGTCGTCGGGCGCCAACAGAACTAGCTCACCTCACACATCGTTATAAGACGCCTCGAGTTGTTCGCGGTAGTAAGTATGTGAGGGTATCGAGCCTTTAAGGCGGCAGGTTAAATAACGTTGCTTGGGCTGTGACAGCAGCTGGCCTTGCGTTCAGCACGTGTAGCTATGCTGCACAATGAACCTACAACTTGATCGACGCGCGCTATTGCTGTAATTTTTTTTGAATTGTTGTACATTTAGGATCTGCCCACGGGCAGGATGTGAGTTGCCATGTGTGAGTTGAGTGCAAGCTCACCAAATATACTGCGTTATTATGCTTTTTTCGAGTCTTCGCCTTTGGAGATCTTGCACGTCAGTACGTAGGCAGAAGGCGTCAAGCCCTAGTGCTCGGATCCCTGTGGACATACATAGTAGTACACGAGCGCACGGGGAACTGCAATGCATCGCCTCGTGCTGAAAATATCAAATATTGAGCGCCATATTTTATTAATGTGCTGACCTTCATGATCAAATGCCCTGAGCGCTCGGCCACACATGCCCTCCTGCCTGACAGTGCTCCGTTAACCGTTTGGATGGCGTGCGTGCAGTATTGCACTGACTTCTTCGAATTTGAAAATGGTAAGAGTCGGGTAAGAGAAGAATATCCCCAATACCCACCACAAGATCGTGAGCAAGCGTTTTCCAATAGCCGCCCATAGCCTGACTCGCTGGCGATATGAAATGTTCAATTCACACATGCTGATCGGGGAATGCCAGACTCGTTCTTCAGCTACCCTACTTCGTTTAGAATGATCCACAACCACAATGAGCGCAGACAATTGATCGAAGGATTCGAGGCCAGTGCCTCCCAGAGAAGCAATAGCCAATGAAAAGTTCGGTATGTGGCTCATGAAGAAATCATGAATTTCCTGGATTAATGTTGAGATCGTACACAAGCACTGGAAAGATTCCCGGGACTCAAAACTGGGGAGAGAACACGTCGTTTCATTCATGTACACGAGGCAATAATGTTACAGGGAAGAAGGTGCAAGAGAAAAAGCGTCAAGAGGGACCTACAGACTGGAAAAACGAAGTCAGCAATGGAATGGAGAAAGGAAGATGAGGTTCAGAGACTTGAATGGGATCCCGAAGGATCAACGTCCAGCGTGCAAGCACGTCGCGGAGAAAATATTTTCTATCCTAATAAACGCGTCGGACACGTATAAACTCACCAGGCGTATAACTCACAAAGGCCAATGCGCTACTCAGAGTTCAATCAGCCCTGCAGAACGAGTCAGCAAAGGCCAATGGTGCAGAATAAAAAGATCAGAAAATAGTTCGCGTTCTTCTCAGAACCTGCATGCAGGCATCGAAGTGAGCTGAGTTACGAAGTTGTTTCATCGTATCAAGAACCAACAAGAAAGAATAACGAGCACCTACCTCATCGCTGTGCAATGCTTGAAAGACCAAAGCCGCTTCGGAAACATCCGAAATACTATCACACCTTAACCTGCCCTAAACTCAGCCACCTAGTGGAACTATACAGGTCCTCTTGAATTTCCCCACGGTCTACACGCTAGACGGTGAGCGTATCTGGAGTACGCACCGCAAGAGACACAACCTCGCCATCTGAAGATGCAGATCTTCGTCAAGACCCTCACAGGGAAGACTATCACCCTCGAGGTGGAGTCTTCTGACACCATCGACAACGTCAAGGCAAAAATCCAGGATAAGGAGGGGTATGTGAATCATGAGATCCTTGTAGGCTGACATTAATATTGTGAACAGTATCCCCCCCGACCAGCAGCGCCTCATCTTTGCAGGAAAGCAACTCGAAGATGGCCGCACGCTTAGTGACTACAACATTCAGAAAGAATCCACCCTCCACCTTGTCCTTCGGTGCGTCGCGCTCATCTCATTTCATTTCATATCTTGCAATATTCACGTGTTCATCTGTTCATAGTCTTCGTGGAGGCATCATCGAGCCCTCACTAAAGGTTCTCGCAGCCAAATACAACTGCGACAAGCAAATTTGCCGAAAATGCTACGCCCGTCTGCCTCCTCGCGCAACTAACTGCCGCAAGCGCGGGTGTGGACACTCGTCACAGCTCCGCCCGTGCGTTTCTCTCATTCCTCTCCCTTTCCTTATGAAACTGATTTTATGATACCGCAAACAGCAAGAAGAAGTTGAAGTAGTCGACTCGCTTGAGGGTGCTTTGGGGACTATTATGGGACATCCATGTGTATTCTCTATTCTGCTCGCATATGCAACACATGACCATTCCATGTCGTTTAGAAGAACGTCTGATGCGCGTGATTGTAGACCATTACCACCGCAGTTCTTTAAACTTTGTCGTAAGTACTAAGAACGCTCTGTCAGGATCGTCATGACAGGTATTTCGATCATATATGTGACATAGCCCAGGGCGGCTCAGAACGGGGCAGCGCAAGACTTGTCGTCCCTGCTGGCGAATCCCTTCATTAACGGAAACGGGAACTTCCATAGCATTGCAGTCAGCCTCGATAAGATCCGCTTCGAACGCCACCACCCCAGATTCTTATGAACATCCATCAACTTCGCAATCACCGTGGCCCACCCGAACACGTACGACGGACCATGCAAATCATACTAAAACACTGCTAAACCACCACTGTATGACAATGTGGTATGTACATACAAAAGAGCGGACAAGTCAATGACTAATACCAAACATAACCATCACCACACGCCCTCACAGTGACACTAAGCCATGCGTTCGTAATGTCCAGTCTGTCTGTCTGTCTGTCTGTTCATTGTCCATGAAAAACCATAACAAAATATGTCCCAAGTGCAACTGCAAAAAAAGTATGAATAGCGTAGTGTTCTCAATGACCAAAATAAAGCCAGGGTATGTGAAACATGTAAAATCCCAAAGCCGAAACTGAAATTAAAGACATCCGTCGAGGTATGCTGAGACAGAGTTTTTGGGTTCGGAGGAGGGAGATTACAACATGACGGCAGCGCCTGCGAATGCAGAGAGCAGAACAGCGGCAGCGGGGCCCATGGCGATCTTGAGTGACGCAGCGCCACTGCTGTTGATGGCCGAAGGTGTAGCGGATGCGGAAGACTTGCTGCTCGTTGCTACGGTAGGAGCGGTAGAGGAAGGTGCAACAGTCGGCGCCGTGCCAGTGCTCATGGAGCTCGTGCCACTACAAGGAGTTTCAGATAATCGTCAGAGTGATAGGTAAGCATGAACTCACGAGGTCATGGACGTGGTGGATGACATCGACGTTGTGGAAGTCACCGTTGCGCCAACAGCGAAGTCGCCACTGCTTGCATAAACGTTGTTGACGTTGGTGATGTCAATGGCCTCGAGGGTGTAGCCGTCACTGCGCACGGCGAGTCAGCCATTCTTCATTCATTCAACGGAGATAGATGCCGCGCGCTTACCCAACGGGGACTTCGGGCAGCGTAATGGTGATGGAGCCCGCCGAGGTTTGCACGTTGCCTGCGATGGCGAACGTGTTGTGGAAGATGGTGTTAGCCATCTCAATGTCGAACGAGCCAGGGTCGGCAGTGGTCGCCTCCCATGTGATCGTCACCTGGCCAACATTCGTAACATTGGTGGGTGTGTTCAGCGTCAGTGCAGACGCGAGAGGGAGAGCGAGGGCAGCAAGGGCACTAAGGAGGTGGTTGAAAACGCGTCAAGAAACACGCTCATCGACCGCGACAATGAGCAAGGGACTTACGCGAGTCTAGCAAACATCTTAAAATCGTAAATGGTGTAATAAAAAGTAGACAGGACGACGAGCAACTGGAAGAAGAGAACTTGGGAGAGTTGAAGGAAGGTGAGATCGATGTTAAAAGCTTTTATGCCAGAGCCGAACCATAAGGCATCTTCCCACGCGGCAAGCCAGTCTTTTTCAAAACCGTGCGATGCCGACGATTCACAAACACGCTGGATTCACTTCCTTTCTCATACATTCCTCGCCATTCCCGCGTTGTCTATTGCGTATGCAACTGTAGGTATAACCAACTATAGATCTTAGTTAGTAATAACAGACATGATCCACTCGATGTCCTCAACCCCCAGCACCGATCATGGAACAAAAGATATTAGGAGTTTAGCCAAAGGACGGCGTCCGATCTCCCAATTTCCATTCAGGCTCAGGCTCACAGCATCTCGCCTGCATTCAAGAATAGAACACGGTCACTTTCCACCGCCTAATAGATCTACATGTGAATATGGTCAATACCGATGTCAACGTTTTACGTCAACCTCCCCGTCGAGGGAGACAGAGCGGGCACAACTCACCTCGTCGAACGGTCTTGTATCGTTGAAACAACTCTCCCAAACCTCATTCACCGCTCGTTCTGCAGCTGCTTCGTCTGGGCACATGGGATTCGCGCGCACCGAAAGTATAGCACGCCGTCTCACGCAGGCCTATTCCAAATCAGTAAGAATTTAGACTGATCAAGAGATGGATATAGGACTGCACAGCATGAGGGAGAATCATCGATATACCTGATGCTGTTTTGAAAATGACACGAATCCCCTTCCCAGCTCACGCATGTACCGACAGTCACCGCTTAAGCTGTTAGCACGGATCTTCGAGAGACTAGGTACCGCAGCGTACGTCAATAAAAACGAGCAGCGTAATATGGCGCACTGCTCACTCACTTCGCTGCACGCGTGATGTCTCAAGTTTTTCCAGTCAACATTGAACTTGCAATGATCATACATGTGTACCAGTTCGTGCGTCAGGGTATCCTCCATGTGCTTCTTGTCTCCAAAGTGGCCCTGACAAAGGACAATCGCCCCGGCAGGGTGGAAGCCTCCGGAACGCGTGAGATCGCACGGGGCGCACACGATGTTCGAGGGCGGTACCGGGCAGCCGGTCAACTTAAGATGCTTCAACATGAAAACCACAGAAGGACCTATTGAATGCAACCAGTGCGGATAATTAAGAAATTTAGAATGAGCACGGATCAAAACATGCAGAAACAACGAGACGGACTGTAATTCAGGAGTTCGGTCTTCCATTGCTCGCAGCGGCGATGCTGTACTTCCACCCGGTCGCGGTCTCGTTCGTCTGCGGTAAGTCCGATACCTGTTACTTGAGCAGCTTTTCGCAACCATCTTTGGAACGCTCGCGACTCTGATGGATTAACAGGTGGTGCAGAGGAGGCTGGATCCATGAGTGCAAATCCTGGTGCAAACCGCGTGTTCAAGGTGCATATTCATTCGGATGAGTTCCCACGGAGGTGTCGCGGCGAGACCAAGTTAGGTTGGTACATAAACCCGTCCAGAATCACCACCAGCGATACTTATTGCAAGCATTGTTAAGAAGGAACGACTGGTTTCCTTCTAATGGTCTGACTAAGTAGTACGATAGTGCTACAGGAGACTAACTAGCGAATCCGTGGTGTGATCAAGGAGAGGCCTATTTAAACATCTTGCGCACAGCTGGTAATTTATGGAGCTTGGTTAGGTGTCTCGTCGCCAGCGCTGAAAAAAAGAACTCATGATGCTCGTCGTGGTATGGGGTATGTGCATGCGCCATCTCGTGCGCCATGATAAAGTACCTGCAGGAAAACAATCGGTAAATATTAATGGACGAGCTATTGGTGAGTGCTTGCCAATCAATGTAGGCTTGTCCAGCAGTGCCATTTTTATCTAAGTGCTCCGCATGAGCGTTGGCAGTGGAAGAAAAAATCAGTGACGTTCACGTACGGTTTTGCATATAATGTTCTAGACCAAAAAATATCTCATTTCTGCGGTTGAAAGCAATCAGATTTGAGTGCTTGTTGTGAAGGAATACATGGCATCGTGTCGGATCGACTTCAAAGACTTCTGCAAGGTCACTAATGATCTTCCCGAAGGCTTTGCATTCATTTGACGGAACATTAGCTATCCCCGCTGAAACAAACGCATCACTCTCACAGCCGGAAACAAGAGAGTTTCAACTTCGCTTCCAGACTTTGACCTCTCCGACTTTCTGGTCCTCTTCGTTGATTTAATCATAAGTCACTTAACCCCTAGTCGGAAGGCTTACTGCATTCATCGAGGTCTGTCATCGGAATCTTCTCTTCATCGCAGTAATCGACATTTTTCTGCTTCTTTCCTCCGCCGACCTGCACTCGACTGTTGATATGCTTGCAGTGCTCGCCGCCTTTTTCCTTCATGATGTCCTTCACCTTCTTGATGGAGTTCTCTGCACGTCAATTTTCAGCGCATAACTCAACGCGGAAAACAAACTTGCACACCAATTTCACTGGGCTTCATCTCACCCAACTTCAACTTGGGGTCTTTGCGGAGCCCATGCAGCCACTTCAGCCACTTCATGGGTTTGTTCAAGACCACCCGTGGAGAACTAGCTCGTTTCTCTACTGGAGAGAGAGCTGGAGGCTGTGCTTCGACAGGTGGTGTCCCATTGGTAATATCTTCCCCTGCTCTCGCCGTCGGTGGAGAACTGGGTTGTTCCTCTACCGGAGAGGGTGCTGGGGGTTGTGCTTGAACAAGTGGTGTCCCATTGGGAATTTCTTCTCCTGCTTCATTGAGCATCTCCCGTGGCATGAAAGGCAACGATCGCAAACCTACCATCTTCAGCCTTCTTAAGATTCTCACTATACTGTGAGCGGATTCTGTCGACTAATCGTGCGATCAGCACCGCTTCCTAGACAACAGCGACAGCCTTACCATCGTAACCGAAGTGCTTGAGGTCGGCAATTTCTGTGCCCAAGATAGTGATAAGGGACATCACATCATGCTTTTTATACGTAGAGAACAGCAGACGGCACAGTGCTGCTGCGATGCTAAAACGGATGAACACGCATCTCGAGCGATAGAAAGCACCACATACTCATAATCGCGAGCCTTCGGCTCCTTGATCCACAATGTGTGTACGCCATCCTTGGATTGGGTCCCAGCAGTGAGGTCGGTGAAGTGCCCTCCCTGATGCGGATGTCCATCCGCATGGTCGAATTTCAATTTCTTCGTGACGTGAAGTTCTCCACAAGCTTGTACAGAGAAACACTTCTCGTCATCCCACCGTACATAGCGCATCCCCTCTTTAAAGCGATCTTTTGCAAACTCGTGGAGGAAAATAGGCATCCTGTCAATTATAGAAGATCGCCTCTGAAGGGCCACGGCCTGTAGTGCGTCCACCTGGCCCGGAACTACAGTGTATTCAATGCAAGAGCTCAAAGATTTGACGCCCATATCCAAGTAGAACTCTGCTCGGGATATGTAAGACAGTTCCAGGAAGAATGGAATAACTTACTTTCTAGTAGCTCCTCCTGAGGAGCGATATAGATACAATCACCAAAAGTCGAAGGGTTTTCCATGTCGTCCGCGACCAATACTTCTTCGGCCTTGCAAAGTTTAAACGTGTCTGCTTCTTGGCTACGCCCGTCATTGCTCTTGCCCCATCGATCTCCCAAGAAAATTCGGGCATCACGCAGTTCCCCGTAGAAGCCCGGAAGAGGTGACTTATGACCCTCCGCGATCAGACGCAGCCCGGCTAAGTAGCTGCAGCATGTTAATACTATGAATCAAGGCTCCAAAAGCGATATGCACCTCTCCTTGTTCCCAGCCATCCGAAGGAACGTTTGTGGACACTTGAGGAGAACTTTGGCGATGTCGATGCATTCAGGGTCTTTCTTGACACCACAAGATTTCAAGAAAACACTGGCACTGGGCCCAAAGTTGACAAACTTGAATAACCGCCGGTAGAGGTGGTCTGGTGGGTATGATTCTGACTCCAGAAAGCACTCGCGAGGCGACACATGTTCATAAGAGACGCCGTTGGATTGTGGCTTCTCGCACGATACCTCTATAGGAACGATCTTGAGGTTTGCAATCTCTTCAAATTTTCCTGTTAAGAAATCTGGACATCTTATCAGCACGAATGAAAGCTCCGGTATCACAAAATTGATCGCTCGCCTTCTTTGTCAGCAAGAAACTTGAACCACTTCTTTGCTCTTTCTGGGTTTTCTGGCGGCTTCGATTTAAGAACTTGAAGTAGCGTTTCAGGGGTACTAGGGCTTTCTTGAATCCGCAGCTTTTCGATGATCCTCTCGTCGTGCAGATGGCCAAAGCCAAAAATTGCCCAATTTACATCCGAAAATACCTTTCCAATCATGGAATCAGCTACGCGTATCCAGTGTCTGTACGAAACAGTGGTTAACAGACCTCATGGTGGAAGAACTGACAAGGCTGTCCGTCTCTGACACCGGGGATGAATGCGTGCGAAAGGAACTTTGACGGATCGAAATGCCTTCCAAGCTCTGTTTCATACGATGGTCCGCAAAGAGACAACCACGCAGCTTGTCTAGCAGAACCATCGGACTCAGATGATGCGATGGTGATGAGTTCCTCTATTGTGGGGTATTCGCGCAGCCCTTGTCTAGTGAGGCATATTGCTTTGGGATGTTTGGTTAGTGTGGCATAGAGCGCCAAATAGTTCACGACATACCTTCCTCACTGTTTGAATTCCAGGAGTCACATTTGACTACAGGCAATCCGAGTGCCCGGTTGGTCGCTGTAGATGTGAAGACCTTTGTGATGTAATGTCTTTTACCATCACTGCAAGGGAAGAACGTCTTATCCATCACGCGAGTCACATCTTCCTGGGGAGATTTTCCAAGGTATCTCGCCAGGTCCATGACATTCCATCTATCATCACTGTTCAATCTGTGAGGGGTCTTAGCAAAGATTGTAAGGTCATATCCCTATTGACTGACTGTTTTATGAGTGCGTCGATGTCGCACCGTTTCTGCACTCCCAGATACTGCAACACCTGCTCGGTGATGGATTCCACGGGAAGCTGTTGTTTAACGACGGGAAGGTTACGAAAAATGTCGACATAAGGGAAATACGCATCCCGGGGCCGCTTCATGGAAGGTACGTTCGAGATAGTCGTAGGTATGCAAGGAACGTCCTGCAAAATCTCCCGGACTTCGGAACGACTATTTTCATCTAGAGTTTGCCAAAGGGCGCTGAGGACACTGAGGACGCGTTGCGCGAACTCTGGCGCTTTCGTAATGTCGTGCGCTGGATCTACTATCCCACCCTTGAGGTATCGAAGCCAGTGTGCGATCGTCATCTTTTCCCATCCCAAAGTATCTGAAATCTTCGAGAGCTCGACGCCTCGAATAAGGGCCGGGGGAATTGCGTCTCCTGGGAGAGGGTCCTCTTGACCGCGAATGTCCAGCATTGGTTTATCAATAAATTTACTGATGGAGCTGAGTTTGACTTCCTTCCCCTGCCACTCTGCTCTGCCTACTTTGAGGAATTTGCTGCGCCATTCCGTCCGCCGTTCGGGCGAGATATCCAAGCGTCCACATGAGGTGCTCCACCAACGCAAGAAAGCAACCATTACAGCCTCAGGCAACGACAGAGATTCCAATTCTTTCGCGATGTCGCTGAGCTGGTACTGCTTGACTTTGAGACAGTCAGGAAACTGCATGGATTTTAATAAAGGATCCAGATCCTTTCTGACCACTGGGGTTCTCATGAAGGGATCGAAGTCCCCATGGGAGCGACGGATGTCCTTCGTGGGCCGAATACCTTGATCCGAGATAAACAGGATTTTTTTTGTTGTCGAGCAAGCAAAGAACGCATCCTTGATAATATGGGACACGTTCGAATCGGGTGTGGTCCGATGAAACACGAAGGACTTCATCGTGTACAATGCCAGCGCTTCCGCATCTGCTTTGCTCAACTTCGACCACGCATCGCGTACTTCCCTCATCTCAAAATCATATGCCATTCTCGCCAGAAAACCTCCAACGCAAAGGAGCTCCTTATTCCATTCTGCACGACATAGCGTCAATAGACAAACGATAGTGAATTGTGAATCCACCACTTACTAGAAACATGAACATTGCTACGAGGTAACCAGTCAGAAACATCCTCATACAGGGTTGCACGATACTCACGCAAGGTCAATCGAGCCTCGCTCCACAGTTGGAATGAAACGACCGGACATGTGGCAAGACATACCGGTCGTTTGATCCGTGCTTTGCCCCTGTCATGAACATTAGATAAGATGAGATAGCCCAATAATATGAAGGTACTGACGATGAAGAGTCGAGCGGGGTATTCTCTGTCAGAGCCGAACGTAAGACGAGGCGCCCCGAGAGAACACCATGACTTACCCTCCCAATCGCGGACAAAGCCCTTGGTGACCACGAAAGACACTTCCGAACCCTGCATTATCGGCTTCGTCTTGCGTCTGCTTATCGTGCTCCTCCTTACTGAACTGTGGGCGTCGAACATGAGACCATGTTGGAATGTATAAGGTATCTACTTACGAATACCATCTCAAATGGGAAGCTCTTGGGAAGGTCCTTCTTCGTTGCAGATTTTAAACCCTGCTCCAAATTCGAGTCTGCTGAGACGGTAACATTTGCAGAGTAAATTGAACATTTTGCCGAGAATGTGGCCCCGGCTTTGATGCTCAGGGCTGCTATTTCTGGAGGTGCAGATGTTCCATTTGGTTCTGATGTCTCCATCGAGCAGAAGCCCTTCGATTCAATCGGATTTCGTTCGCTTTCCTCCAGATCCACTCCTGTGATGAGCGTCTTCGGACCTTCAACGGGTACATCTTCAAAAATTTAACCTTGACCTCTTGGGCTGCCGGGACCATCAGAGCTTTGCGGACTTGGAAAGGTGTAAGAGACACATACAGATGAGGTCGACAGAGGCAACGGTCATGGTTTTCCCCGGGCTGCTTCTGAGCATATGGTCTCGGATGTCTATTGACTGACTGGCCTTGTTCCGAGTTTTTGTCAAACGGGATAGCTCAGTGCCGTCCCGCCAGATCGTAATGCATTCAACATTGGCCAGGAACGTCATGGATGTTACTAGAAATCGCGTGAGTTCAAAGATCCGCGCGGCGGTCGACTCCTGCTTCAGTTCCATCTCGATCACAGTCCACTCGTCCCTGTCACAAACGATGTCCTTCGCGACGAGCTGCATGCACGTCAGAAGCGCTGACAGGAAACGTTGGTCTCAGTAATAACGTGCCTCGTCTTCTTGCCAATAAAAGGATACCATTTTTCCTGCAGCATCCTATGAGTGGCTTGTACTGGCAAGCTTGATTGAAGGACTGCGTACCATTCGATTTGACAATCGGCTTGTCGGTGACACTGAACACACTAAAGAAACCTGCATATTGCACTCAGGATTTGGGATGACAGGAGAATGCATGATTGCATACCGACTCCGAATGCACCGATCTTTTGTTCGTCTGGATTGCCTGCGGCTAGACCAAGCGTTCAGCACCCAGAAGGCTGATCAAAATCTTGACAAATCAATGTTCTTCAGACGCTCCCAGTCATTCTTTTGAAACAGGTCACCGTCATTCTTCACAAGCCATTTGAAGACCTTGTTAGACGAAAAAGTGAGTACTCCGTAGCCAGCACTTTGTCTCGCACACCTTAGCTGAGTTGAGATCTAGTTTCATCTCATTACTCGCACATCCGTGTGAGGTCTTAAGTTGAAATTCAATAGCGACGTTCTTAGCCTTGGCATCATCTGCGTTCTGTAACAATTCTCGGAAAACTTCATTGCATATAATCAGTCGTATTTTCTGACCTGACGTAGTTCTCAACCTACCTGTGAAGTCTCCCGGGTAACGAGCGAGCACCTTATCGATAAGGCCTCGCTGGTCGACTCTCACTGCTGTCATATTCTACACCAAAAGGTGAGCCCCGAAAGAGTTTAGTTGTTGAGCCCCAATAGAACTAGCTCACCTTGTGAATTATAAGACAGCCTCGATAGGTTCGCGGTAGTAAGTATGTGAGGGTATTGAGCCTCGAAGGCGGCAGGTTAAATAACAACAACGTTGTTTGGGCCGTGATGCGTGACAGCAGCTAGCCTCGTGTTCAGCATGTTGTGATTGACGCGCGCTCCGGCTAAATCAAGTTTCCGCCGCCATGAATCTGCCACTTGAAGTGCAGGATGTAGGTTGCTAAGGACGCTTTTTAGAAGTTTTGCACCTTAGCCTTGTAAGTATAGGCAGAAGGCGTCAAGTCCTAGTGGGGGCCCGAATCCCTGTAAACGTATATAAGTAGTAGGAGCACATGACAGTGAACTGCGATGCATCGCCTCGTGCTGAGAATATAGATATCATTGAGGGCTATCATATTGTATCAATATGCTGACCTTCATGATTACCCTGGGCGCTCGGCCACACATGCCATCCAGCCTTGCACTGACTTTTCGAATTCGAAGATGGTTAGAGAAGATTAATATGATCAATGCCCGATGACCGATGACTTGTTCTTTCTGAATCGGAAGCTTATGTAGGCTTAGTATTGAACGTTGAACTCGAAGCTTCCGATTTAGAAGGAACAAGTCATCTAAAAAAGACGAATTGGTCGAAACACGTTTTGAACTTGTTTTGAACAACTCACATTTGGTGTAACTCAGGGCGTGCGTTCGTAACTGTTTGTAAACACTCGCATTTGCAAGAGTTAAAACTTAAAACATACTGATGAAGCAATTGAATATACTGAATTTCGCACTGTAAAGTATAGTGGGAATCTACGACAAATTTAGTACGAATTATGTGTGACGGCAGGTAGAAGTTATTAGAACTTTAAGTGGCGGCACAACAAATAGAGACTTTCACGCAAGGTTAACCAGATACCAGTCCGGTATAATTTGGGAGAGTGCTATGGACTTCGATACATATCGCGACTCTAAATACTATCAATGCGTACGAAGCCCGTGATTAAGGAATAACAAATAAGATAGAAAGTGAAACAAACGGTCACAAGATAATGCTAATCCCAGACTCTCGATTAGCTGCGTCTCTCGATGTTCTAAGTCTTGGCTCTGCTTTCGTCGTCAAGGCGCAGATGCCACATTATGATTCTAGATCATCCAAGTCGAAATCAGACAATCGCTCAGTAGTGGGACTCAGAGTAGTTTTTGGGACACTCGCTAAAGTTCGCTAAAGTTCGCTAGAGTTCCACTAACCCCAATAGAGCTGCAAGGATCAGCCACCAACACACACACGAGACATGCGGCACACCTCTGTTGAAGCCCGAGTCGAAGGCCGAGCAGGAGATGTCAAAGTGAGACATTGCGAGCGCTAACCAATTGAGGAACTTACAACCAAGTGACGTCGGTCACAGAATCTCATAAGTCGTCATTTATTTCCTATGCTACAGCTTATTACTTATCACTATGCTAACTACCTTAAAACTACGAGTTGTCAGACCGAACATCTCAGTCCGTTTCCCAAGACTGAGATGTGAGTTGAAGTTCCCGTTTTACGTTACAACTAGAACTAACAGATACTTAGATATATTCTCTTATCAGGTACTACTATACTTATTACTGAGTCCGTTTCCCGAGACTGAGATATACATTCTCTTATCAGCTCCTCGCTCCCTCTAAGCCTCTCATCACTAGAACCTCAGCATCATGGTGGTGTGGGGAATGTCCCCACTGTAGGCCTGTATCCCATATAATTCCCATGCCTTACCACCATCTTCCCATGCATTCCACTACCCATCCGTGTCTTACCCGACCCGTCCGCTACACGGAACCAAGCGGAACCCAGCAGAACAATTGCATACCACGCGATTCATATCCCTTTAGCCTTCAGAACGTCCTCCCCTGTCCTGTCCCTGTCCTTCCATCCTCACTGGTGAGTACTAGCTACGTTCCCTGTGTTACTAACATGTTCCTATCTCATTTCATATGTGTTACAATACTTATACAGATCCTTCTGCTACTCGGGACTGGTTCCTTATCTCACAGCCCCACCCGGTTGTAGCATAGCGCATTTTGGAACCCCTTCCTATATAGGTAGCAATAGATGGGATCTTAGTTTTTTACCTTCTGATAGACTCAACTCCACTTCCACTTACAGAGTACTTCCCAGTACTCCACTCACTGTCTAAAATATCTTCCCGAATCTATTCCTGATCTCATTGCAACATTCCCGCCTCCGCGAGTTCTGCCCGAAACACCCGACATCAGATCCAATGACTTGGAGCAAGTACCAGACACAAGCCTGGTCCGACTTTGCCCAATCATCCTCCTGCAGGCTTGTAGTTTCTTTTCCCTCCATTAGTTCCCCATCTGTTCCCTGTTTGTTTCATTTGTTCCCCGTTAGTTCTGTTTGTTCCCCGTTAGTTCCGTTAGTTCCATGTAGTTCTGCTCGTTGCGTGTTAGTTCCGCTCGTTGCAAACCCTCCGCATCTTTGTGTTCCCAGTCCTAGTAAGGACCGGAACCCTTCGGGTCGCTAGACAGAGTCTAGTCTTTGCTTTCCTCACACTTACTTGAGGACCCGCTACCCAGTAGCAATCCCCTCGGGACGAGTATTAGTCTCGCACCCTTTGTTAGACATCTGAATCACCCAGAGTCTATTTTCCTCACCCACAGCGGACTTCGAAAAACATGCCTGCTACTCGACCACCACCTTGTCGTCGTTCTGCACGCCTCAAGGCCTTGCAGAGACTCTCTTGAAAGGACCCGAACATCATGGACCACACCCAACGAGCTGTTACCCTGCGTAAAAGCCAAGAATGGTGGCTCGCAAGGTGGTAATACTGCCAGTACTGCCAGTACTAGTGCTGGCAAGGAACTTTGTATCCAATGGAATGCTGATCCAAAGCGCACCAACAGGGTTGTTGAGTACCTCTGTACTCACCCTGCTGACTCCCGCCTCTTGTTCTTCAATGATGGGAAGGCCCATCCTGATGGTGATTGCCTCTCAGGTAAAGACAAGCTTTTGGTTTGCAGTGTAATCGCAAAGTATGTCTTTGAGTGCAATCCAGAATATGCACCCATATATACAAACATGCCAGAGAGATTTTGTGACTCAACAAATAATCATGTCATGAGGTAAGAGATCTCCTATCCATCTGTATATATGCTGATCATATTCCCTTTGAAGTCTCAAGAAGAGGTATCATGAATGGTACAATAAACTACATGTGACGGGTGCTGGTGTCATGCCACTCGATGATAATGCTGCTATAAACTTGCGAGGTGCATATTTTAAATAAAATACTTATTTAACAATTTAGCTGATAAAATTCAAAGCTCAAATCTTGGATGATTTTCCCTGGTACGATGACATTGCTTCCATCAGAGGGACAAACCCAGCATTATCACTCAATGTCACCTCATCACAACCTGGATCAGATCACGCATCATAATTCTTTTCACTCCTACATCCAGCAGGGAGCACTCATTCAAGTTCAAGGAATGCTCAGTCCTCTTCTAGTGCTCAGTACGGCAGCCATGTTGCCGGTGCTCGGCCCGCTCCCCCCAGTGCTCAGTCTTCTTCCAGCACTCAGTATGGTGGCCATGTTGCTAGTTCTCAGCCTGCTCCCCCCAGTGCTCAGGCTTCTTCTGGTGCTCAGCCCACTCCCTCCAGCACTCAATCTTCTGGTGCTCAGTATGGTGGCCATGCTGCTGGTGCTCAGCCCACTCCCCCCAGCACTCAGTCTTCTTCTGGTGCTCAGTACAGCGGCTATGTCGCTGGTGCTCAGCCCGCTCCCCCCAGCACTCAGTCTTCTTCCAGTGCTCAGTACAGTGGCCATGTCGCTGGCGCTCAGCCCACTCCCCCCAGTCCTCAGGCTTCTTCTGGCGTTCAGTACGACGGCTATGTCGCTGGCACTCAGCCTGCTCAGCAGTATGACACTAAGCACCCTCAATTTAGGTGTCCCCCCAGCAGTAAGCCCCTTCAGTTTGGTGCTCTTCCCCCTCAGTTTTACTATGGCCCTCAACCCCCCCAGTTTGGTGCTCAGCCCCCTCAATTTAACAATCAGCCCCCCCAGTTTGACTATGGTGCTCCATCCCCCCAGAGTACACATCCCCCTTATGGCGTGCCCCCCCACTCTCAATTTGCGCCTCCCCCCAATGTCATCGATCCATCTCTTGATGATGATGGTGGCAGCAATCTTGATGATGGGGGGATGGACTTCGGCGGCTATGAATTGGACAGTCACGTGACACGGGATTACAGTGAGCAGAATGCGAATGCTGTGAGCCTGGACAGCCCACCCAGGCCCAAAATTACTAGAACCAAATGGCAGCTCCCTCCATCATCTCCGTTGCCTCCTATCACTCCCCCACCGCAATTTTTTAGTTTTCCCGACAAAGCAGTGACTTCGTTATATGACAGTCGCTCTGCCTTCAGACCAACCAATCCAATGAGACACACAAGCACTGGGTCACTCAAGTCCCCTCTTCCTATTGGACACCATACTACTTCTGCGGGCTCTTCGCAGCGGTCCACACCCATGTCATTGTCATCAGTGCCAGTGTCAACAACGCCCACATCACAAGCATCATCATCCAAGAAAGGCAAGCAAGTGAAGAAGCAGCGGTCAGAACTTCAAGAGCGAGTTGAGGGGATCCATGATGAAATTGAGAGTATGCAGTTGGACAGGTTGTCCCGCTATGAGCTCAAGAACGACCGCTACATGGCCAAGCTGAACCTTGCTCATAAAGATAAGGAGCATCAGTTCCTCCACGAACAGCGCATGCAGGAGCGCATGGAAGCTGTCGCTGTCCATCAGCGTGCTCAGGAGGCGATGGCTATGAAGATCCGTCTACGTGAAGCAGAGGTCAGTGCACACAACACAATGAAGGAAGCGCACAACAAGGAGGCAGCAATGTTACATCTTAAGATTGAGTACTGTCGACTTACCAATGCTGGCG